ACCGGTATGTAAATATAATGCTAATTTATCAATTTTCTGTCCTATTTGTCCTTCTGGTAATGGAGTTCCTATTAATAAAATTAAACAATGTGTTAGCTGCCATCATTACTTATCAAGTATACTAGTTTTCATTGGAATAGAGTTACTGCCTATGACAATCATTGTATTAATAATAGTAGCATTTAATATACAATTAACTAATGGATCAATAAATGGATTGGTTTTCTATTCTCAAATAGTTTTTGTGATTTCTTCTGATTATAATCTACTGATTAGCAGTAACACTGACTATCAAATGTATGATCTCTATGCCTCACCTTGCAGTGTCTTCAATTTAGACTTTACACCATTTCTTGGTAACTATTCATTATGCATTGCTCCTCATATGTCACCATTAGGAGCAATCTCCTTTTGGTATGTGGTAGGATTCTATCCATTGCTCCTTCTCCTCTTACTCTATGTTTGGATAACATTGTATGATAAAGGTTACAAGTGTGTAGTATTTGTTACTAGACCACTTCATCGCTGCATGGCTCGTTTCTGGAGTATGACTGGCATTGAGCCATCTTTTACTCACTCTATAGCATCAATATATATACTCTGCTTCACTCTTTTGGCTGCTACTTCCTTCAAAATATTACGTTTTCATCCTCAGTATTTTGATAGTCAATCTTTTGGCAAAAAATCTTTGTTATTGTTCTTCTTTTATGATGCAAAACAGCCTTATTTTGGTGGCATTTATCATATATTGGCTAGTATTTTTGCTATCATAATTTTATTGTTTCTGATACTCTTGCCTACACTTTATTTACTCCTTTATCGATTCACATGGTTTCATAAGTTATTGGATTGCTTACATTTGAGGAAACAGCTACTGATATCACTGGGTGATGTGTTTACTGGTCCTTTTAAGAATGGATCTGAGAATACTTTTGACTATCGTTTCTTTGCTGGGTTATATTTATTATTGAGGATACTTATACTTTCTATTCAGTTTTTAAATGGGTTTGCACATACAGATTCACTCATTATAGTTCCAGCAATAGAATGTAGTTTAGTTTTATTACTTGGTTTAGTGGTTTTAATATTTCGTCCTTTCCAAAGAAATATTCATAATTTTTGTGAATTAATAGTTCTAGTTTTTGTAGCTGTTTCTTTTCTTTATTATGTGCTTGCAAATAAAAACTCTCATGTCAGTGGAAATATACTTGTTTTATGTTTCAATTGTCTATTATTTTTTATATTACTAAGCTATATAACATATCAATTATCCTGGATGCTGGTTCATTGTGATGACTATCGCCGGCGACATTATGGCACCATTAGAATACAAGAACAAGAGTATCAACCATTAGTTGGCAATGATGATGATTGGATTGCTGATCGTATGGAGAATCCACAAGAATATAATGAACTACATGTTCCTGTTAGACTGGATGATTTACCAGTAGAATATGATCCTCAAGACAATACTGTTGCTGCTAATTATGGTAGCATCAATGCTTATGAAACTGTTCGTACTGAGGACTAAATTTTATAACTA